TGGGCTGAATTGCACAAAACGCATGATCGCACCGGCTAGTCTGGTGCGCGTTGCCATTTATCTTTTGTGCATAGGAGCAGTGGCCATTGGTCAGTCGCCAATACTATCCTAGTTTAGCCGAACGTACTGTAACAGGGTCCTTTCCAACTGTCATGCTTGGAGCTGCCAAAGTTTATACTTTTCCCGTTTTGCTTAGTGTATACTCTATCAACGCGGTGTAGTATTTGAATATGAAGTTTGTAAGGGCGGAGGGGGTGGTAGAATCCGAAGTTGTATTAGAAGACGATTTTAACGTGGGTAGTGCAGTGCAGGTTAGTGCCTTAACTTTTTCGTTTGTTAACTTTGATAATCTTTGCGTGTTTTCACAGCCTAGCTGCGTTGCAGTGCCATTCACATGCTCGGAGAAGAAATTCAAGTTTTTGGACAAGCTACCGGATCGTGAGATGGGTTTATGTGATGTCGCTCCAACCGTTCTTCAAGTGATGGGATTGCCGATTCCTTCAGATATGACTGGAAAGCCGCTGGTAACCGAAGCATGATAAATCTCTAAATTTGCTAGTAGCAGCAGAGAACGACAGATTACTGATTTCTGAGTTATCAAGAGCTTTGACTGCTTATCACCTATTAATACCAGTTTTTTGGACTTAGTTTTCACAGACTTCTGCTTGATGAGACAAAAGCGAATTATCTGTATCACTATTGCTTCCGGGTTGAAGCTTTATGGAAGGAGAGGGGCGGGAGGAGTAGCGATTGAAAAGATATTCGAAGTTATGCTAGAAATCGATCTCCATATTAACATTGTCTTATTAGTCGAAGTCTGTGAAATCAGACCTATGATATTTTATTGTCGTCTAATAATTAGGTACTGTAACCGGTGTCTCTCTTTTAATCGGACAATGTTGCTGTCCGGATTGCGCACTTTTTATTTATAGATGTATAGATGTTCCATGCATAAATAGAAGTCGTAGATTTCAATTAGATTTTGTGTATATTAAGTGGTCAGTAATTTAATGCGCTCGA